AAGAAAAGGCACTGGAACTACCTGATAGGGAATTCAGAACTCTAATATTCAGGGTTCTCCAACAGATGAAGGAAAATGCAGACAAAAATAAGGAAAAAATAGACAAACTCACGGAAAATACAGACAAAATCAGGGAAAACACAAAGCAATGGAAGAATTCAGGAAAATAATACATGAACAAAATGGCAAAATAAATAACTAGAAATCATACAAAAACAGGAATTAGAAATCCAAAAGATAAACAATAAGATTTCAGAAACAGACAGTGCAATAGAAAGCTTTAGGGGCAAATTTGAAACAATGGAAGACAGGATCGGCAAAATTGAAGATTTTGCTGGATACCACTTTGTTTGAGGAAAAATCAGAGAAAAGAATGAAGAAACCCTGAGAACAATATGGGATACAATCAACAGGGAAAATTTGTGTGTGATCAGAGTTCCAGAACAGGGGGAGAAAACAGAAAACACTCTCTGCATCATTGAAGATTTGCTGACAGAAAACTTCCCTAATATCATGAAAGACGAAAAGCCAACCATCCAAGAAGCTCAATGAACCCCATATAGGATAGATCCCAAAAGAAAATCACCAAGATGTATCATAATCATGCTCACTAAAACCAAAGACAAAAAAAGAATCCTGAGAGCAGCTCAAGAAAAATGAAAAGTCACATATAAAGGGGAAACAATAGGACATTTCTGGAAATAAATATGAAAATTAAGTGTGGATTCATTACTGTGAGGCAAAAATAGAAGAATAATACAGGTAAGGTAGTAAGAGTAGGGTAAGGAGAATGCAAAGAAGGGTCGTTTTCAGAAACAAAATCAGTTGAATCTGTAAGATTTAGAAAATAATGAAATGTGAAGATTAGAAAGAGACATAAGTAAATGTTTGGGTAAATGGAATAATTTATTTTATTTAACATTAATTGCCATTATGTTTAATGTTTCAATGCACTTTACTTAACAATAGGCAAGAGTGACTTACTGAATACAGAATTGTTGAGCCTCACAGTTCCAAACTTGAGCATTTTATGCCAATGTCATAAGTCACTTTTACATGTGATGTGGTTAGTGTAAGTGACATCTCCCAGGTCTGGAGGCAGGTATGTGACAGACTACAAGCACCTGCTTTTAGATAACATAAAGAATCACTGAAGTCTAGAAGACAGCTGGTTTGCTGAAGGCATAATGAGTTCAGTTTTTACATATGTTGAGTTGACAAAGGGAGGTAGTAAGGTAAAGAAGACAGAAGTTAAAAGATTAAGAGAGAAAACAGGTTAGTGCAGTGTTAAAAACAGAAAAGGAAGTTTTGTCAAGAAGAGATAATGATTAAGAGTATCAAACGCCTCACAGACATCTATAGTGGGTTGAACAGCAGTCCCCAAAAGATATGTCCACATCCTAATCCCCAGAACTTGTGACTATTACCTTATGTGGAAAAGGTTCTTTGCAGACATAATTAAGAATTTTGAGATAAAGAGATTATCCTGGATTATCAGGGTGAGTCCTCAATCAAATGACAAGTGTCCTTATAAGAGAAAGGCAGAGGAAGATTTGGGACTAATAGAAGAGGAGGAGGCACTTGACCACGGAGGCAGAGACTGGAGTGATGCAGCCACAAATTCAGGAATGTGGACAGCCAGCAGAAGCTAGAAGAAGCAAAGAATGGATTCTCCCCTAAAGTCTCCAAAGGGAGTGAGCCCTGCCAACATCTTAATTGAGGACTTCTGGTCTCCATAACTGTGAGAAAATAAACTTCTGTTGTTTTAAGCTACCCAGTGTGATAATTTGTTACAGCAGCCACAGGAAACTAATCCGACATCTGAGAATAAATGTAATTGATTTTGCCATTAAGAGGGAAGACACTGGTGATGTTCAAGAAAGTAGTTTCAGTAGAGTGGTATAGGGAAAGCCATATGCAAAGGTGTGAGGTAGAATTACCCAAACTTTCTCAGTTCACAGTGCCCTTAGTATCTTAATTTTTTTTTTTCAATAGTGCTCCTAAACCAAAAGAAACACCTAACAGTTCGGTTTATAAACTAGTCAGTTCCAAACACCCTACTCAGTACTTGTCCTAGTAACTTTGAAAAAGTTGTCCCAGGGGTTTGAAAAAATAATACATATACATTGAAAATAAACTATTTTTGATTTTATTTTTAAATATGCACAGTTACTTACTAATGCGAATGCATGCACCTATTAGGCACTACACAACTTCTCAAACCTTGGAATTAGATTGTAAACAGCTATTGTCACTTCTTCTTCCATGCTGATTTTCGCCCAGTGCTTGCTTTTTATCACAACCACAACCAAAAATCCAGCTTTGCAAAGACACAATATTAAAGCAAGAGATGTAGAGTGAACTAATGTTGAAACTGTGCACCATCTCTAACAGTCTGTGCAGTGTCACAAAGACATCAAGTATCTCAGAAATTCGAAATATCCCCCAGGCAGCCCCATGAGTTCACTGCGGCCCCTGGGGCACCTCGCACACAGTTTAGGAACCATGGGTTTAAGGAGTGACAGGCGAAAAAAGTATGTTGAAAGTGTTATCTATATTAGATCAACTTGACAACAGTAACACTAAACCACAGATGAAATGTTTAGGGGACAATAAGTCTAAGGTAATAATGGTGAAACAATACAGGCAGAGATGGTGAGAATGGTGACATAATATGAATGTAACAAATGTCACTGAACTATACTTGTAGAAATTGTTGAATGAGTGTATGTTTTGTTGTGTACATTTTCACCAACAAATAATAAAGTAATAAAAAAAATATGCTCAAAACACCATTTCTCCAAAATTAGTAAAGTTCCAAACTTTAACTCTATCTGGAATAAACCTCATACATAATAAATAGGTTTAAATGTATTGTCAATACCAATGATAAACATTTTCATAAAACAATAGTTCATATTAAAGCATCAAGAATCTACTTTTTGTACATACATCCAAATTCACTGCCGTCAAGTCAATTCCAACTCATAGCGACCCTATAGGACAGAGCAGAACTGCCCCATAGGGTTCCCAAGAAGCAGCTGGTACATTCGAACTGCCAACCTTTTGGTTACCAGTCGAGGTCTTAACCACTGTACCACCAGGGCTCCGAACTGCCCCATAGGCTACAGTAAAATAGAAGAAATTATTTAACTGTATGTATAAACATTGATGGAAAACAGAAAGATTTCACTGACCACGCTCTGGATAGCTTAGCAAATACGTTTCCCCTTTTCAGATTCCCTCTTTCGCTCCGATGAACTTTGCTGTTTCAAAAACTATGTACTCAAGGCCCTTGCAACTTTGAAGTCAAACTACTATATTGGTAGAAAACAAGCACTTTCCCATGTATGCCAGGCTGGTCCCAACCCAACTGAACTTTCCTCTTCTTCAGGACTAAGCAAAAGTGGTCCTTTCTAAGCATGAATATGGAAGATTATTTTTTCTCATCAGTACTTTTGAGCAATGCCAACTTCCTTAAGCAATTTTCCCTAGTCACCAGCACATGAATCAGTCATAAAACTGCAGGTGAGCTCTGCAATTTTCTCTGTACTCAACAATGCCGGTAAATCAAAGCTGGTAAATCAGGGTGAACTACCGTATCAGGAAAAATTTGGTTAGATTAAAATTCCTCCCTACATTTCTTAAATCCAAACAAGTCATAAAGCTCCTATTAAATGTTACTTACTCTTGAATATGAAGATCTGTTTGAGAAACAGTGCTCAGCAAGCAAAGAACAGAACATAGCAACCTTGTTTGTTGTGATCTCTGTAAAGAAAAACAATTGCAGGCCTGCTAGTTAATCACTAATTAAAAATGCATTGCATTTGAAGAGTAATTCTGTTAACTTGCACTAATATTACTGGTCTGAACATAGTATATCTTGATTAGCAGATTATAATTTTGTAAATTAATCAGGCCAAGGCCCTAAAAATAAGACTCAGCTTTCTACCTAGAAAATTTTAATCTAGGAGTGGCAGAAGGGTAGTACAAAAATTACTTTTAGGAAGGTAAATACATATTTATAAAAACAGAAAATGGAGAAGAATTTTTAATATTATCTGCTGTCATCTTACACACTTATTCATGGGAATTTTGAATAATTACTTGATTAAAAATAAACAACAAAGAAAACCAAACCCTATTCAAACTCATGGCAATCCTATGTGTTACAAAGTAGAACTGTTCCACAGGGTTTTCATGGCTGTAATTTTTAGGGAAGCAGATCACCAGGTCTTTCTTCTGTGGCGCCGCTGGGTGGGTTCCAACCGCAAATAAACAGCAACCTAAAACAGAGCAATATCATAGTTTACAATGGTGGAATTGACCAGAGAAGGATCACTCAAGTCAACTGCCCTTCTCAATCTCTGAGGCGCTCTTTTGGGAATTAAGAGAGCGGAAAACTTGGTCTTTAAATGTGACCGGTCAAAAAAAAAAAAAAGGAAAAGTTAATAGTCGGAGATTGACTTAATTTTAATTAATGGTAAAACTGGATGGGAGACAGTTTACATATTACTTCTCATTTTAAAAAAGGGGGCAGGAAGTGTCCTCTTCTTTATATTAAATTGGTTAAATTACGGAAGAGTAAACTGGAAAGACGTTGTGCACTACTTTTTAAAACTGAAAATACATGTTCGGTAAAATAGTTATTTCGTTTCGGAGCATCTCCTTGCTGTACCAGCGAATGGCGGCGTCGGCGGAGTCGCTGCAGGGCACACTCGAGAGCGCACTGAGCCCTATGCTGCTGTGTTGTTTTTCCCCAAGTGGAGAGAGAGAAGCTACAGCTTGTGCCGAGGGCAGCGACCCCTGGCAGAGAGCAGGGGGCGACGGGCCGGGTCGCGGACCTGAAGCCTGGGCTCTCCGCGGGCCAGCTCCTACGAGTAGCACGCTGCTAGCGGCTCCGGGGGCACACGGCGGGGGCAGCGAGGGCGCCTGGGGACACCCACGGCTGCGCGGGGCGGGGCGGGGCGGCCACGAGTCGCGGGCGGATGACGCGCCGGGGTCGGTGGAGAAGCAGCCACTTCCTGACGCCGCCGGCCGGGGCCGCTCGCCGCACTCAGCGCTGGAGCTGGTATCCCGCGGCCTCCACCATGTCCCACCAGACCGGCATCCAAGGTAACGACGCTCGGCGCGGCCCGCGGGGAAGGGGCTCCCGGGAGGCCTGGCAGAGCTTGGCGGGCTGCGGGGTCGGCAGGGCCTTAGTCGAGCTCGGGGTGCGGGGAGTCGGTCTCGCGGGGCGAACCGGGCCTCTGCGCCTCTCCACGCTCCCGTTTCCCGGCTCTGCCGGCCTGTGTCCCTCCCAGCCCGGCCCGACCGCTGTCACGTTAGACAGAGCCGAAATTCAGAGGAACGAAGGAAATTGACTTCCGAGGCGGCCGAGGTGAGGGGGCGTGCCCTCCACCGCCACCAACATTAGCCTAACTTTCCCGTTTTTCATCAGGTAGGGAAGAGCTGGAACAGTGGAGGCTAGTTTTGCTGTCGAGAATCGGGGGAGTTTATTTCAGAATCCAAAAGACAGTGTTACATACTTTCATCAGAAAAAGAAAGATTCCGGAATCTTGTTCACATCAGTAAGGGTAATTCCCAAACTCTCATGCATCCTCTTCCCATAAAATAGGAACGTGAAGTATGTTTTGAGAAACCTAAGTACGGGATGTGTTTCGATCTTTTTCCTCAGGGTACTCCCCAGAGGAACTAAAAAGTCAGGTCTATGTGACTGCATTTAATCATCCTGTGCAGGCAGTTTAATGTGCAATTATGTTTGACCTCTATTAATAATTTTCTAGTTTGAAATTGGGCAGTCTAGAAGAGCTCACCTCATCAGAATCAAATAATATGTTCCGAGGTTACTCGAGATCACTTAACGAGTTCTAATACAAACCCAAACTCTTGCCTTTCCTGAGATGAACATTTGTGTGTTTTTAAAAGGTCTTTGACACCACCACCCTGACACACAGCAAAACAGATTAAACCTAAAAGCCTTATTTTATTTGTCTGTGTTAATTTTCACTTTTAAATATGTAATTATTGACTTTCATGCTTGAACCTTATAACAAGTTCTACTTAAATATAATTCTTGCTGTCAAATAAGTAGCGCAAGAACGAAATTAGAAGGAAATTTAAGCTTTGGTATGAACACAAGAATTAGGTTATTAAATATATATTTGCTCAGTGAGCTTACTCCACCTCTTTGAGAAATACAAGTTAGAGTAATAGAACCAGAGGTGTAAGATTGAATGTGTTTTATTGACTTTATCTTTAATCTAGAGAATATCTTGTATTTGCTGTTGTTTTTAATGGGAAAATTTAGAAAATGAAGTAATAAAGGAGGTGTCTGTCATAAGCTTGCAATTGGACTAAAGGAGAATGAAAGCAAGTTTTCAACATTTTCAAACACCAAAGTGTTCTTCAGAATTGTCATTTGTCCATTGTTGAGTTTGAGTAACTTCAATGTACTTACTCTAGTGTCGTTTCTGCTATGGAATTATCTGGCTAAAGCAGAAATTCGAAATTACATACTTGTAAAATATATTAAAATTTTTATATTAGTTGTGTGCAGTGTAGGTGATGTTATTATGCCTTTAAGTCCTATCATTTAAATTACTGGTAATAAGAGATTTCTACACACTTAAAAGATTTTTTCTTTGTATTGTCATTCGTTCCTTTCTCATTTAAGTAGAAAAGGTAAGTTAATACATATGTAGAAAAAAATAGCTTTACTTTTCTTTATCTTTTCCCACAGCTAGTGAAGATGTTAAAGATATCTTCGCCAGAGCAAGAAATGGAAAATACAGACTTCTGAAAATATCTATTGAAAACGGTTAGTTAAATGTTTTAAAATTTTGCTTGTCCCTGGATTATTGGGTGCCGTATTTTTAAATTTCTAAATCTTTGTCAGTGGTTTGGACCATTAATTAATGTGAAGCAAGTTCAAAGCTTGCTGTCTGAAAATTTATCAGCCTTTAAGGTAATTTGGATACTGTACACTTTGGTCAAGTCCCCATGGGCCCTTGCTTTCCTTCTGAATTCTGTAGCTAACTATCCAGGATACAGAAAGATGTTTTTCAGTGTGACGTCTTCCTCTTTTACTTTTGTGTTGCAGTTTCTGCGCCACAATCCATTTCTAATGTCAGTGCTTCCATATCTGGAATGGAAATCAGTAGACAGGTGATTATCCAAAAAAAAAAAAAAGTTACTTGTTATTCAGTAAAGTTAGTTTTGAAGTAGAAAGGAAATTTTTCAAACTCTCCCATTTTCTCTACCTGATTGTAACCTATGCTACAGAAATGATTACCTTTATATGTTCTGGGAAAGTTCTGAGGATGTAGCAAAATACAGATTGATTCTTTTAAAATAATTCTGTAAGCAGTGAAACTGGTTGGAATGGAAAATCTTTTAATACTAAGAACTTCAGGGAGATTTGAATTTGAATAATTAATGTTATAGCTACTTAATCACAAATGAGTATGTTAAAATAGTCCATTGGCCTAGTTAAGTATCTTAAAATATTTTGCTTTGGAAAAATAACTTGTTCTTTCATAAGTTGGAAGTAAATCTAATTTGCTTTTCATTTTTTGCTCATACATTAAAAATATCAGGAATAGTTTGTAAAATATGCAATGTGAGTACCACACACTTAAATATATTTATCATACAGAAACCTAAATAAAGAAGCATATTAAATGTCCAGTTAAATGAGCTCTAGTTTCTATTTTATCCTTTTTTTTTTTTTTAGCTAACTGACATCTTTAAGGAAGGAAAACACCACTATTTCCTAAGCCATTATTTTCTGTTTCTACTTGATTTTGGGAAAAGAATAAAACAAATACCTGTATCTCCCCTTAAATTAATAACTGCTAACATTTTATCCTATTTTCTTCAAGCCTTTTTTTTAATTTAATGTTTTTCTGAAATTAATCAATTCCATTTCCTGACCTCCTTTCCCTGAGGCAACTAAGTTAGGAATTTTTATGTTATTATTTTGGTTTTTATATGTATCCCTGAATAACATAGCACTGTGTTGAGTTTTCTAAGTTTACATAAATTGCATGTGTCTTTTTTCTCTAAATGTCACTTGTGAAATTAGTTTTGCTATATGGAGTGTTCATTAATTCTTTTTAAATATGAATAGAATTTTAGCATATGACTATGCCACATATTATTTATCTTTTCCCTTATTGATGAACATTTAGACTATTTCCAGTTTTCATTGGTACTATTCAGTGCTGTACATATATGCAAAAGATTCTTTATGCAGAAAAATCAGTTTTACCTGATTCTGCCAAATAACTCTTTAATCTGTAGCATTATGGCCAAATATGAGCTAAACCTGTTTTTATTTAATATTTCTTACTGTATAACTCAATGTTAATTTCAGAAATTATACTTTTGAGTGGTAGTACATCTATATAAGAACCTTTTGTTGATAATTTATAGTATAGACATTTTGAAAAATAGAAATATAATCATTATTTGGCCCTCCAACTCAACTATTATGATCATGTTTATATGTTCCTTTCATGTATTTCCATATATGTAACATTTTAACCATGCTATTTGTAAAACCTCCATACCTGTTTTTAGTATTATTTTATATTGTAAGTATTTTCTGTGTTGCCACCTGTTTCCTTTCAACTTTTTGATAGGAATAATAATGATTAGCAAATATCTATTTACAGTTCTGTTCAACATACTGTCATTTGGAATTTCAAACTATTCATGTATCTTTTTAAAAATTATTCTTCATAGAGCAACTTGTGATTGGATCATGTAGTCAACCTTCAGATTCATGGGATAAGGATTATGATTTCTTTGTTCTACCCCTGCTGGAGGAAAAACAACCATGCTATATATTATTCAGGTTAGATTCTCAGAATGCCCAGGGATATGAATGGATTTTCATTGCGTGGTCTCCAGATCATTCTCATGTAAGTTATTTTTTGTAATTCATTTAACGTTAAATGCTGGAAAGAACATTTTTTTCTAAAATGTTTCTAGGCCAAAAGAAGACAAAGAAACAATAATCGTTTCTCATGAAAAGGAACAATCATGAGGGAAAAAAACCCTTGGCTTGATAATGTGCAATCAGAGTAATATGCTAGGATTTAGAAGTCTTGCCCTTGAAATTAAAATAATTATTGATTTTAAATTTAAAATCCCGTGGCAATTTTAAAATTATTTACTGAGCAAATAATCCGAGAAGCTGGACTATGTGAAGAACACGACATCAGGACTGGAGGAAGACTCATTAACAACCTGCATTATGCAGGTGATACAACCTTGCTTGCTGAAAGTGAAGAGGACTTGACATGCTTACTGATGAACATCAAAGACTGCAGACTTCAGTATGAATTACATCTCAACATAAAGAAAAAAATCCTCACAGCTGAACCAGTAAGCAGCATCATGATACACGGAGAAAAGATTGAAGTTGTCAAAGATTTCATTTTACTTGGATTAACAATCAGTACCCACAGAAGCAGCAGTCAAGAAATCAAACGATGCATTGCATTGGACAAATCTGCTGCAAAAGACCTCTTTAAAGTATTGAAAAGCAAAGATGTCACGTTGAAGACTAAGGTGCACCTGATCCAAGCCATGGTGTTTTCAGTTGCCTCATACACATGTGAAAGCTGGACAGTGAATTAGAAAGACCAAAGAAGAATTGACAGATTTGAATTACGATGTTGGTGAAGAATGTTGAATATACCATGGACTGCCAAAAGAATGAACAAATCTGTCTTGGAAGAAGTACAGCCAGAATGCTCCTTAGAAGCAAGGATGGCGAGACTACGTCTCACATAGTTGGCACATGCTAGCAGGAGGGAGCAATCCCTGGAGAAGGACATCATGCTTGGTAAAATAGAGGGTCAGCGAAAAAGAGGAAGACCCTCAGTGAGATGGATTGACACAGTGGCTACAACCGTGGGCTAAAACATAACGATTGTGAGGATGGTACAATACTGGGCAGTTTCTTTCTGTTGTACATAGGGTCGCTGTGAGTCGGAACAGACTCATGGCACCTGTCAACAACAACGTGGGCCTCTTAAAAAAAAAAAAATTAACTGCTTTGCTCTGAGATTAATAATTATAATAATTCTAAGAGCTAATTGCACATCACATGAGTCAGAATCAACTCAATGGCAATGGGTAATTGCACATCATATTAAATATCGTTAATATTCAGCTACCTTTCAAGTAATGGGCATGCCATACAAGTATTTCTTTAGAAAAGTTGGTTAGTAGATTAAATAGAATAAAAGACATTAATATATGAATATTGCCCATTATTTTAAAGATTAATTCCTGTGTTTCTTATAGAAAAACAGTATTTTTTAAAAAGTTATCTAGATGTCTTTCTGAAAGAATCATCCCATTCTTTCTCATTGCTCACATCCTGTCTGAAAGTAATATTGTATTTGCCTATGCAGGATTATGAAATTGTTTCTGTTGGTAGTTACCTTTCGTAGTTCTTTGTAGATGCTAGCAGACTCTTTAATAATGGTGTATATTATATTTCTTTTCATCTTTGGGTACCTCATAGAATGGTGTGTGCCATAGATACACCAAGAGTATTTGATTGTTGAGCAACTTAGTTAGTAATATCTAGATTTGCTTTGAGTAAAATGTCTGTATCCAGGTTACTTCATTTCAGTGATTTTTTTCTCATCTTTTAAAGTAGTTTTTTATTCTTGAGCTCATTTTAAACTTTCAGAAATAAGGAATTTTTTAAAAGTAAGAATTTTTTCCTTTTTGAAAAATATAACTTTTACTATAAATTGAAATCTATCTTAATAGCCGTTGATATAACTACTTACATGCTCATTTTATGATTATTTCTACACACATATTTTAGCACGTTAGTGAGTTTTAGCTTTTCACAGTTTATTTTTATGTGTTTGAAGATTTTAATAAATTCAACATGTGCTTTTATAATTGTTTGTTTTCATCTATAAACTAAGTAAACTTTCACAACTATATAGGTTCGTCAAAAAATGCTGTATGCAGCAACAAGAGCAACTCTGAAAAAGGAGTTTGGAGGTGGCCACATTAAAGATGAAGTATTTGGGACAGTAAAGGTACAAAACTTATGTATTTATTTGGATCCGGTATGTTGTAATTAAAATAGTTAAAGAAGAATTCCTAGGTAATGGGTAAGTAATAAATAATACGAATACAGATTAATCTGTAAGCGTAAGAATAAGAGAAAATATTATTATATTTAATATGATATGCAACTTTACAAATGAATGTGCAACTTTGAATTTATTAATTTGTATCTATTTGACATAATAAGTGATACTGAAACATTACACTTATACTTTTAAAATATGGTATACTTGTTGTTAATCCATAGATCAAAGACTTCAAAAACTGAAATACACCTTTTAAAAAAAAAACCTGTTGCAGTTGAACCGATTCTTACTCATAACAACCCTATAGGACAGAGCTGAGCTGCCCCATAGGGTTTCCAAGGAGCAGCTGGTGGATTTAAATTGCTGACTTTTTGGTTAGCAGCCGAGCCCTTAACATATACCTTAGAGATCATCTGGTTCAACCCCTTCATCTAATTCAAAATTTTCATTTGAAGGATGGGGAGATAGACTTAGAAAAGTGTGAAGCTGCTTGAGAGAGATTGTATTTTAGATATCTTGAACATTTATACCCATATTCTAGAAGCAGTAACTATATTAAGCCAAAAGATTGAGGCAGGTAAATTAATTGATAAAGTAATTAATTGAGATAGTCAATTAAGATAAATTAGTTAAGTTAAAGAATTCTTTGTCACAACATTTATATGGTAAATATCTGTATTTATACACATACACTTAAATTAAGAAAATTGAAATATATTTTTTGAGCAGTTGCAGTTTTTTTCAGAACTTTTATTCTGATTCAGAAAGTAATATAACCTTGTAAATAGAGCACAAGACTTGATGGAGATACATTGTTCGTTCACCATTAATTGTGAGATCAAGTCACTTCTGTGAGGTTTGGTGTTCCAAACCACAAAGTTATGGTGATAAGTATTTTTTTTTCCTTTAAATATAAGAAGTATAATAATTTTCTATAAATAATTATAGAAAAATTACATAAATCATTATAGTACAGAATTCGCAATCTGAATTTGTTGATTATTTAGAAATGATGGGACAGGCTTCCCCAGCAGGTTAATTATAATTGTCCTGTAGACTTGAAGCATGACCAGGTTCATGATGTAACTGACACCCCACCAGCAAATGCACAGAAAAGATTTAGTCATTATAAAACTTTAGGAAATGAAGAGTGGACACTCTTCGTATAAACTTTTGAAACCTATACAATAGGAGAGTTAAAGATTAAGAAAAGATGGTAAAATTCTTAAAGCCAAAATGCCCTCACTGAGATGTTACTTGTAGACAGGAACTGATTAACAGTGCATTTCTGTACTTACAGGAAGATGTATCACTACATGGATATAAAAAATATTTGCTATCACAATCTTCCCCTGCCCCGTTGACTGCAGCTGAGGAAGAATTACGACAGATTAAAATTAATGAGGTAAATTATAGCTTTGAAACACTTAGAAGATTTGAACATGTTTGAAAATATCATTAATAGATGTTGAGAGATAACTAGAGAATAAAGGAGTGAGAGAGCTTATTCTGCTTAGTTTAGAAACAAGACTATGTGTTTAATGTGTTTTCAGAAAAAAGAAGTTAAAAATGAATATTAAACTTCCTATCAATTTCATAAATTGCTTTCTCCACTGTTTATAATGTGCGTGTCAGAATAAGAATAGTAAATATTCCTTTTGGGAGTACAGTTGTTTTTAACTTTGTACTTTGAATAGGAAAAATGTGTTACTCATTTGATGTAAAGAATATTATATCTAATTAGATTGTCTGAAGCAGGTTATTTTGTTATTTCAGAGACAAGATGACAAAAGGGTAAAGTATAAATGCTATAGGATGTTTAGGATTTGTAGAAGGTCTAGAAATTAGCTTCAGTGAACACTACTATATATATATAAACAACATAGTTATTTGAGTAGTTGTTTATCATATTAAAGTCAATACATTTCAGACATAGTTTATCATATTTTCAATTATCTAATTAAGAGTCAGAATAGCTACTGTATTTCTACTGAGATTTTAAAGAAAAGAACAAGTTGCAGAAACCCCTAATAGAGGAAATCGGTCTGGAAAGTGGTTGAAAATTTTTTAATATTAACCTGGTAGCAAGGATCTATCATTATATTATTTTAACTTGAGTTATTTGAGTAGGACTTTTTATGGATTTTTTTTTACAAGCTTGATAGTTTGTTTTATTCTTTGCAATCAGAACCCAGAGGATCATATTGGGGTATGCATTTGCATATATTCTATGATGTTTCATTATCCGATATCATTTATGCTGTAGAATCTCCATTCATTTTTTTTTTTTAATTAAAATTCCTATTTGACTTTCTGTTGCAACACTGCAAATGAGACCCTGTACTAGCTATTCTTTATCAAATATATACAGATCTTCAACTTGTGCATTGAAAGCTTTCTTGAAGTATCCTTCCCCTTCCGGTACCTGTGCATCTACATTCTTCGTAAAGAAAGCTCCATGTCTGGAACTTCTGCAGTCGTATAACTTGTTGAGCTGTATTGTGTATTTGTATACTGTTTGTACTCCTTTCAATTCAGTGCATGGTATTTGTGTTGCATTTTATGTCCAAAAGAACAAAGTAAAGCTTTATAAATATTGTATGTGTATCACACTGTTCATAATTTTTTTATCAAGTTTTGTAATTAATGTTATAATCTGATAACAGTTTAAAGAGCTTATGTATCTCATTGAAATTTTCCCAAACCTAAACATAAGCAACACCACACTACCACTGCACACTCATTTAAACCTTCACTCAGAACATTTTCATGAAGATATGTCCTGCACCCTGCATGTTGACAAAGTGCTAGCAGGACCATGAACAATGTGAAAAAGAATTTGTTTTTTAAGTTTATAGTATTTTAAGTGTTTCTTTAATGACATACAGGTTGGGCAAGTGTTAAATGATGTTTACTCATAGAGACTGGGTTTTTTTATTATCTTTGCCATATGACACTGCTAAATGCTAAAACCTTACCAGTAAATTAAATATCCTATCATATTTAGGTACAAACTGATGTGAGTGTGGACACTAAGCATCAAACACTACAAGGAGTAGCATTTCCTATTTCTCGAGAAGCTTTTCAAGCTTTGGAAAAATTGAGTAACAGGCAGCTCAACTACGTGCAATTGGTAAGAGACAAGTAATGATTATTTTGAAATGTCTGTTCTTACTGTATGGCTTGTATCAGGTTTTATTTTTAACCAATTTTGAATTTTTTTTTTCAAATTACAAAAGAAATGTGTGTTCTTTTGAAAAGTCAAATAATACAGAACGGTGTGAGTTCCCCTTATCTCCTAGTTTATTATATATTTTTTAAATGAATTCTGTATATCTGTTTTAATGAATGTTTTCTTATTGACAGGAAATAGATATAAAAAATGAAATTATAATTTTGGCAGACACTACAAATACAGAACTAAAAGATTTGCCAAAGAGGATTCCTAAGGATTCAGCACGTTACCATTTCTTTCTGTATAAACATTCCCATGAAGGAGACTATTTGGAGTCCATAGGTATATGATATGTTGTTTTTAACATGCTACTTCCAGTTTGCTTATTCATATTTCAGCACTATATCTTTATTGATTTCTTGTCTAGAGAGCTTAGATGTTTTATGAGGCTTAATACTTTCTTTAATTGATATGCTACTAATTTTATTTTTTATTTTAATTTACAGTTTTTATTTATTCAATGCCTGGGTACACATGCAGTATAAGAGAACGGATGCTGTATTCTAGCTGCAAGAGTCCTCTGCTAGAAATTGTAGAAAGACAGCTACAAATGGATGTAATTAGAAAGGTAGACCTATTTTAAAATTTTCAGTTTTTGCTAGATTTTTCTTGTCTTTTCCATGTAGCTCATGATGTATTGTGATTTAGAAACAAAGTAGATGTATATTTCTCTTGTTCATGTCATGAACTCTTAGGATCTCTGTTACTCTGGGTACCTGGGGATGACCTGCCATGACCTCGATCTCCTTATAGATATGGTAGCCACAAGCCACGTGTGGTTATTTAAATTTAAGTATAGATGAATTGAAATTAAATAAAATATAAAAATCCAGTTCCTTAATTGCACTAGCCACATTTCAGGTGCTCAATAGCCACATGTGGCTAGTGACTGTTGGACAATATAGAGTTTACAGAACATTCCCATCATTGTGGAAAGTTCTGTTGGATGGTGCTGCTAGAGCTGCATACATGTGATTGTTTCTGGACTCTTATGTTAAAAAGGACCTACAGTCTGCATTTATAACTGTGAATCATAGGATGGTTGAGAATCTTACTAGTTGTTGGGGATGGAGGGAAAGGGTGTAAATATTTGAATTTTGGGAGCTAAGCTACCAATTTCCTTAACTTAAATTTTTTTTAATACAGATGAGGCGTGGGAAAAGATAAGATTTATTCTTGAGCCCTTTAACACTTCAAACTACCAGTGTTTGAAGTACTGAATGCTTCAAACTTTTTAAGTTCCTGAGAATCACCTTAGCATGACATTTTATAGCAGCAGTCGGCTAACTTTTTCTACAAAGGGCCAAACAGTAAATAGTTTGGACCTTGCCAGACCATATGTGGTCTCTGTTGTATATTCTTCATTTTAATTTTTATTTTTTTACAACTCTTAAAAAATGTAAAAGAAATTCTTAACTTGGGCAGAATTTCGCCTGTAGATCATAGTTTGCTGACCCCTGTTATAGAGTGATTTCAAGTGATGAAGAGGCCATGAGTAATATTTCTTTAATATATAGCTGAATGTAAAAATGGTGTGGTGGGGGCACCTGACCTCCTCTAACTTCATGAGGGGGAGAGAGAATCACTATCAACATCAGGCCAAGGCTGACTGCTATGAAGTGGACGTCAAACATATCTCTAGCCTCCAACCTTTTTACCAGTTCTGATACCATCTGTCCCTCTCACGGCACACTCTATTTCTCTTCTGGGTTCAATAATTTGTTGCAGTGGCCACACAGAACTTGTAGACCATACTTACGATTATGGGATTTATTAGGGAAATAACAGGTTACAATTCAGGATCAGCAACAACTCAGTCAGGACAGCCTCTTCACAGCCATGCCCTCAGGCAGCTCTCTCTGGCCCTCAGCCCCTCGGCCCCTGCCCTGCTCGGGCAAGTGTTACAAAGCTCTTTAGCTCTACCAGTAAGTGCCCGGAGATACCCCACTCTGCCAGTAAGCCTCCTGCCTGAAGGCACTCAGCTCTCTTGCTCCATGGGTTGGCACGCCCACTACAGGCACCATGCTCTGTGGGACGGGAAGCCCTCCGCACTGTCTTGCACTGGTTTCCTGGTTCTGCTGCCGCTATTTCTCTTTGGCCACTTTTCACTGTTTCGTTTCATCTCTGGTGTTAACGGCTCTCTCTCTGTCTCCTGGGTCTAGAAGGTTCTCAGCACAGGGGCCCCAGATCCAAAGGATGCGCTTCATTCCTAACTCTTCTTGGAGGTAGTTAGGTCCCCTCTTTCCGCCTCTGGGATGGCTCACTTTAAGCCTAGCAGGATGGCAAAACTGACCAGTCCCTCTTGTTAGGGCTCCATATGCCTTATTTGCACGGTCCCACCCCTGCAAGGGTTTTGGGCACCTTATTTGTGGGCCACAAGCACCTTATTTGTGTAGTCCCACACAATAATTGGGTGGGAAGTACAAGACCGTGGTGAGGAAGGCCATATAAAAGCGATCGATCACACCGCACTGACTAACTTGAGAATATAGTGATGGCTTCTACTTTTAAACATTATTTAAATTAAAGCAGTAAGAGAAACCAAATAGGAAGCAGCTGTAGCTGATTATTCAAACAACTCATGTAGCCTCTACCCCTCAGAAAAAAAATGAAACTACTTATATATGATGCTGATTTTCTCTTGCTGGAATGGGTATTCTGTCTTTATTTATGAGCATTCATATTCATTTCACACCTGAAAACTGACTTGCTTATATAAGGTTTTGAATGTTGTGTGTGCTTTTTATATTGCCTTAAACTGTTAATCTTGTCTTTTATAGATCGAGATAGATAATGGGGATGAATTGACTGCAGACTTCCTTTATGAAGAAGTACACCCCAAGCAGCATGCACATAAGCAGAGGTTTGCAAAACCAAAAGGTCCTGCAGGAAAAAGAGGAATTCGAAGATTAATTAGGGGTCCAGCTGAAACTGAAGCCACTACTGATTAAAATGATTATATTAAACATTACAATACTAGTTTTTTAAAAGTACAGCTTTTAGTACAGGAGAACTGAAATCATTCCATGTTGATATATAGTAAGGAAAAAATTGTAATTTTTAAAAGGTAGCACTTTTCACTTCTGTGTGTTTTTAAAATTAATGTTATGGAAGACTCACGATTTCTATTTTGATTTAAAGCTAGAAAAGGATTCAACATAATATGTTTAATTCTGATACACTGTTCTCATAGAGTGATGAGTCCACACTTTCACATAATTCTTAAAATTTTATAGTTGGGCTAATTCCAGAAAGTCTAATGTCTCAAAGTAGGATATGCTTATTACTTTTTAGTAAGACATTTGAATTTTTTTTTTTTTTTAAGAGAGAAATACCTTAAAATATTCATTCTACTTTAATGGGTATGTTAAGGACCAGGGTGCATTATTTTCTAAGGTGAAAATTTAGTGTGCCTAGGACAAGGTGGAAAGTTGTTTATCCTGAGGAATAATGCTAATTGTCAGACTGTGGTATCATGTCTGCAACTTTTAGAAACAGTGCTTTATTGCAGCAGTGTTTTCTATTTGGCTTTTTTTTTTTTTAATGGCATTGAAATTTTAGAAGATAGCTCATTCTGAAACCTTAAGGGTACCAGATATTTTCTGCAGGATTTCTGATGGCATTGAAAGACATGTTTTAACAGCCTTAGTAACTTCTCTTTTCTAGTGCATTAAACAAATTTTCATTTTAAAAGTAAGCCATTTCATTATAAGTACTATGAGGCGAAATTATTTGTTCATGTTGAATTTTAAAATATCATTCAAAAGCAAACAAAACTAGTCAAAAATGTTGGAAAAGTTTTATACATTAAGATTGGATTTTTTTCCTCCAAAACGGTATGTTTATCGGCACATTTCACTTTTGAGCAAATACTCAGATTTAATAAAATTTTAAAATCATGTATTTATCAGCTTAAAATAGATAAAAACTTAGCTTAAGAATTTTGTTTTAATTTATATCTTATTTTGAAACACACTTAACTCTTTGCTAAAGCTCTGCATTTCCGGTTACAATTTAGAGACATTTTGAGCCTCGTTTTTCTTTGATACTTGAAATAGAGGGAGGTAGAACACTTCATCATGTTAAACCTGCTGCAAGAGCCAGAACTTTGAGTAGTTGTTTTCCAAATGAACTGAGGGGATCCAGAATTTGGATTTTTTTTTTTTTTTAATTGTACTTTAGATGAAGGTTTACAGAACAAATATTTCTCATTAAACAGTTAGTACACATACTGTTTCATGACAGTGGTTAACAACCCCAGGACATGTCAACGCTGTCCCTTCTCAGCCTTGGGTTCCCTATTACCAACCTTCCTGACCTCTCCTGCCACTGTTGTGCCCCATTAGTCTCATTTTGTTTTATGAGGCTGTCTAGTCTTTGGCTGAAGGGTGAACCTAAGGAGTGACTTCATTACTGAGCTAAAAGGGTGTCCAGGGGCCATACTCTCGGGGTTTCTCCAGTCTCTGTCAGGCCAGTAAGTTTGGTCTGTTGTTGTGAGTTAGAATTTTGTTCTATATTTTTTCCAGCTCTGTCCGGGACCAGAATTTGGTATTTTTTTATCTAAATTAGATGCTGCATAAAACAACTACCAGACATGCAGATTTCACAGTATAAAATATGAAGCATTCATTTCTAAACCTTATTACCTAAGGTAATATATGCACCTTTTGAAATCCAATGTGTGTTCAAGTAAGTAAAGCATATTAGAATTACAGGTTGACAGATTTTTTTTTCTTCAAGTAGATTAACGGTATTTGTGTGGGGTTTTGTTTGTTTACAAATAATCAGACTATAATATTTAAACATGCAAATTAATTGACAGCAATGTTGCACATGTTTACTAAATATATACTTTAAGCTGTTCCATGGGTGCCCACAGTCACACATACACACACATTACTGCATTGAGAACTTTGGAGCTATGTTGCAGACAATAGCTGCAGCTGTTATTTTCAGTCAGGAAATTACGATGATATAAAATAATTCAATAGTGAATGTTACTCTGCACCATCCATGTGCAGTTTTAAATTCCACTACACTACATGGAAGTAAATGGACATTCCAGAATATAGATGTGATTATATAATCTTAAACTAATTATTAAACCAATGATTGCTGAAAATCAGTGATGCATTTGTTTTAGCGTATAACTCATTGTTTACAATGTTCTCAATAAATTTATATAGTAGTGAATTACATGCCTTCTGTGTACATTTTATAAGTGCATTTTATATCACAATAAAAATTTTTTCTCTTTAAGTTTTATATGTTCTAAGTTGGTTTTCTACTGTAATCTTTTTTTTAAAAAAAATGGATAATTCTGCATAATTCAACATGAAGTGATAGGTTAAAAATCTTAATTCATTTATTAGCTTAAGTCCAAAAAGGTTTTTAAGTAGTTAATAATGTATATGTGTGTGTGTGTGTGTGTGTGTGTGCATGTATATATATATCTATTACGTTGGAAACCTGAGCCAAGAAGAGTTGGACAATAGCGTTCTTAATTTAGATGAGAGCTTTCCCACTGCTGTAGCAATAATAAAAATGTGATGAGTTACACAGTTCACACTCTGATAGAAGCACTCCAGTATGACAGGAATAATCAACTTGGCAATACATTCGTAAGAGACATCCAACATATTGAATGTGTTCCTACTGTGTGCAAGTCAATATCAAATGGACCATTTTCTATTAGGGCTTTATTATGAAGTGAATGTCTTCGGTAGCAGTTTTACAAAAGATGCAATATCTTTAAAAGGGCTGATTTTAAAAGCTGAAGAGTGTTATATTAAAAATTCAAGTTATCTGAGGGATTTCTACTCAGAGCTAAAATAATGTCCCTGAGGTTAACACTGTAAGTAATTTAGTGTGTATCTTTTCACACATCTTATACATCGTAAGAACAGGAGGTTCTAGAAGCAGCAGCCAAGAAACTAAGTTGCTAAGGGCAAAAGTTAGTTCTAGGATCAACCAACGATGAGGCTCTGATAAACCTCACACGTTTTGGCCAGAGATCTGAAGAGCTGTCCACCAAAAGGGTGAATGGGATATAAAATAGATTGTCAGACTAGATTACAAAAAAACTACATGCTGTTTACAAGAGATAGATTTAAGACATAAGGATAAAGAATGTGATAAACACTAACCAAAAGAAAGATGGTTTTATTAGTCAAGTAGACTTTAAGTCAGAAAAGATTAAGTAAAGGATTCTCCATAATGATAAAAGTTCAGTTCACCAAGAAGCTATGACAATTATATGTAAGCAAAATTAGACAAAGTCACAAAGGAGAAATGGAAAATCCATAAAGTGAAAGATTTTAAAAACCTCGGTAACAGAAAAGGAAGATAAAAATCAGTAAAGGTATAGAATATTCGAACAGTACAATTAGTTTGACCTAAGGAATATGCATACAGAACTGCAGAAAACACACTTTTCAAGCACAGATGGAACATTAAAAATTGAGTATATACTGAGCCACAAAGCAAATAACTGAAATCACAGGATATGTTCTCCAATTACAGCGCCACTGAGCTAGAAACGAATAACAAAAAGTTTACTAGAAAATTCTGTGTATTTGGAAATTAAAAAGCATACCTCTAAATAACCCATGTAACGAAGAACTCACAATGGAAATGAGAAAGTACTTGGAACTCAATGATATAAAAAAATTCTATATATCAAAACTTCGGGAACGTAGCTAAAATCATGCTTAGAGAAACATTTATAAAAACCTTGTATCTATATTTACATATTGGAAAGAAAATAAGGCCACAAATTAATGAACTGGGAATTCATCTCAAAAAGTTAGAAAAAAAAAACAATATAAACACAAAGAAGGAAATAAAAGACCAAAGAAGAGCAGAAATAGATGAAAATAGAATTTAAGCATAAAACCAAAACCAAATGCATTGCCCATCAAGTCGATTCCGACTCACAGCGATCCTACAGGACAGAGTAGAACTGCCCTGTAGGGTTTCCAAGAAGCAGCTGGTGGATTCAAACTGCTGACCCTTTGATTAGCAGCCAAATGCTTAACCACTGCGCACCAGGGCAAAGCTGGTTCTTTGAAAAGGTCAATGAAATAGAGAAGCTCCTGGTGAGACATAGAGAAAGAGGTAGAGACAGAGACACAAGCAGGAAAGAGGAAGGAGGAGTGGAGTGAGAGAATGAGAACGCAGATAATGTCAGGAATGAAAAAGGGGACATCACTGAAGACCATGCAGCTCATAAGAGTGTATCTATTATAAACAACATGATACAACAAATTGGGAAATTTGGATGAAACGGACACATTCTTAGGACAAAAACAACCATAAAAAATATTTAAAAATCTGAAACATCATATAATTGTTAAAGAAATTGAACCAGCAATTAAAACTTTGCCACGAAGATAACTCCCAGCCCAGACAGCTTACTAGGGAATTCTACCTAACAAATAATAACACCAATTTTACACATACTATTCCAGAGAATAGGAACAGAGGGAATACTTCCCATAATATGATCATTTTTTGAAGCCTGCATAACCTTGATAGCAAACCTGACAAGGATTTAGCATAAAGTAAAATTACAGGACAATCTCTTTCATGGACACAGATCCAAAAATCTTAAATATCATTTGAATTGAGTAGTATATCAAAAAGATAGGATGATGCAGCCAAGTTGGATATCTTTCGCCAGACAAGTAAGTTTGGTTTAACATTAAAAAATAAATCAATGTATTTCACCACATTAACAGAATAAAGAAGAAAAATCACATGATTATTTCAATAAACGAAGAAAAACTGTTTGAAAAAGGCTCAACAATCATTTGTGATTAAAAAATATCTAAGAAAATATCTGTCACATAAAACACTCACAGCAACTCAGGAGTGTGAGTCAGAATCAACTCAGTGGCAACAGGTTTGGTTTGGTTTTTAATCTGGAACACAATATTTCTTCTTCCAGGATCGTGGTAGAAACTTAGTGACAAAGTCTTATTCTTGGCTCATTGCTGACCCAAAGGACTTCTGATAACACATGCTACAACAAATAAAGCCTGATTCAGTTTATGTTTTTTATTTTCTTTTTTCTAAGTTACAGTACACGCTAGTCATTCTTCTCTGAGGCTACACACTGGTGGCCTTTGTTTGAACTTGGGTGTTGTCAAAGTTTCTTAGCCAGGGGAATCTCTACAGCAATATAGTTTTAATGCTTCTGTAATACTTAACACTAACTGATCTTATTTATTTGTGTATTATTGAGGCAGACGGCCTCAGAGCCCAACCTTCTAAGAGACACCTGCTCTGGCTTATCCTCCTACACTGAGCAGAATAGGCTGCACGTTCTTCTGAAATTGTCCTTGAGAAGATAACCACAAAACGGGCCATAGATGGTCCTCAACCTGCCTCTAGATGGAGATTTAATATGCTAATATAAAAAAAAAACCTTTCTCCATCCCAGAAAATTGAACCCTTGTCTAAAAAACTGCCTAGTCATCCCCAAGCTCTGAGCACCTGCATGAAGTTCAATCCTAAATATTCATGATGAATTTACATTTCTTGTCTGCTCTCTGTAAAAGCCCACCTCCCCAAGCTGCCTGTGAACAGTCTTAGAGACAGCTGCCCTGATTGCTCCTTTCCTTGTGCAACAAAATAAAAGCGCCTTTCTACTCCCACCTTGGCCCTTGTTTATTGGCTGTAACAAGTCATGCTGAGCAGAACCTGGGGTTTCTACCCGGCAACATTTCTGGCCAGCCAGCCAGGGTCATTGCTTGGTTCCTGAGACGGGCCATGCCAGGGATGCCGCCTGACTTCTGGCACCGCTGAGAGAGTTCTCCAGGAGACCTCAGGGCAGTCCTAAAGGCCGACCTCCCTCAGATTCAACAGCGACTTCATGAGAGACATGAAACACGCCTAAGGTTATTTGGTAAGTACCTAGGTAAGGCCTTAAAAGAGTCCCAAGAAGTGGGAGTATTGACCATTGAGGGCGTAAAAGGTTCTAGGTTTGGTAAGTAACAGGGTAATTCCTAGGTAAGGCCTTACAAGAGTCCCAAGAAGCGGGAGTATTGACCATTCAGGGCATAAAAAGCTCTAGATACCTGTTGGTACACCGAATTAGGTTGTGTAAATGTGTAAGTGTGTGTGTGTCCAGAAAGTAAGGAACGTTCAAAAGATCCTGGAATGCAGCCCACTAAGATGCATCTTTAAAAACTGGAAATATTTCGGGTCAGACCCTATGAAAAAGAAAAAAAATGATTTTCTTTTGTAACTCCGCATGGCCTCAATATGAACTGACAGATAAAAAAAGAAAATAACCAGCAAGTTGGTCTCTAAATTATACTATCTTCCAACTTGATCTTTTGTATACTAGTGAGGGTAAATGAGATGAAAAATATTATGTGAAAACTTTCATAACTCTGTATCAGAACAAAGAGTTACAGAAAAATGTAAAAGCTTAGTTCAGAAAGGGACTGATAACCCACAACAGCCAGTCCTCCTTCCTGACCCTGAAAAGGATTGTCAGGGGACCCTAGAGGCGGAGGACACCTAATTAATTAGTAGTCCACCAGTTATCAGGCCACTCCCAGCCACTTCTCCACCATGTCACTCACTTCCTCTAAGTTGTTTTGCAGACCCTCTGCAGAGCTCCGGATGGATCCAGATCTAACTGGCTCACAGGGGTCAGACACGCGGACAACAGACAAAGATGACTGACAGACAAACCTGGGACACAACACACGCTCAGAAACACGAGAGAACTCATGCCAGGGAGTGAAAGACTCATGTCAAAGAACCAAAATCAACATCTGGCTCAATTGGCATAACACAGTTTATAAAGACAATGTTCTACATTGTACCTTGGTGAGTAGCATCTGGGATCTTAAAAGCCTGTGAGCAGCCATCTAGGATACTCTACTGGTTTCATCCCTTCAGGAGCAAGGGAGAGTGAAGAGAACAGGATACAAGGAAAGGATTAGTCCAAAGGACTAATGGACCACAGCTACCAAGGCCTCCAACGGACTGAGTCCAGTGCAGCTGGATGGTGCCCAGCTACCACCACTGACTGCTCTGACCGGGATCACGGCAGAGGGTTCTGGACAGAGCTGGAGAAGGATGTAGAACAAAATTCTAACTCACAAAAAAAAAGACCATATTTACTGGCCTAAAGGAGACTGGAGAAACCCCGAGAGTATGGCCCCCAAACACCCCTTTAGCTCAGTGGGGAAGTTATCTCCGAGGTTCACCGTTCAGCCTGGGAGTGGACAGCCCCATAAAAT